TGTACCAATAAATTCAATTTAAATAAAAAATGTTTATCTCTGTGGCCCTGGGGAAAAAAAAAGAACATTTACATATCTATTATAGTTTCACACTAAGGGCCATCAAAATGTCCATCAAAAAAAGAATGGCTATGTTAAGATATATTCATGCAATAGAAACATAGCTATTAAAATTATGTTTTCAAAGAGTATTTAGTGACTGGAAAAATGTTTAGAACATAATAATAGGGGGCGCAGACAACCATGGCAATATCATCTCAACAATTTTTAAAAGAAGAAAGAGCCAGGTCTAGTGATGCGTTTTGTAATACCAGCACACTGAGAGGCTGAGGCAGGAGGATCACAAGTTCAAACCCACCCTGGGCAACTCAGTGAGACCTTGACTCAAAATAAAAACTGAAAAACAGCTGGGGATGTAGCTAAGTGCAAAGGTCCCCAGTTCAGTATCACAAAAAAGAAAAAAGAAAGGAGGAAACAAAGAAAGGAAGGAAGGAAGGAGAGAGGGAAGGAGGAAGGTGAAAGAAAATACAGGAAAACTTGAAAAGAAATACTGCGTCAAAATGCATATTTTGAATTTTTGGTTGTTGGCTTTCTGATGATCTAAATTTTCTTCTTGATTTTAAAAATTTTCCAGATTTTGTACAGTGACTAGTTATCATTCTTTTTAAAAAATAATTTTGAGAGAGAGAAAAGAAAGAAAGAGAAAGAAAGAAAGTCTTGCATACATAGAAAGCAACCCTAAAAATCCTGCTTAGGCAGAAGGATCACCGTGAGTTCAGAGTCAGCCTGTGCCACACAGTGAATCCAAGGTCAGCCTGAACTACATTGTGAGCCTTTGTCTTAAAAAATAAAACAAAACACAACAACAACAAAACAAAAACCAAAAAAAAAAAAAAAAAAAAAAAAAAAAAACAAAAAAACCCAAAAAACAAAAAAGAAAAAGCCCCTGCAATGGCCCCTCCGTTGCCAGATGACACAGGAAGGAGACAGACTGAATCTTGTGCCCAGGATAAATCTTAAGCTCCTTCTTCCTGGCACCTTGATACAGCTGATGCCAAGGAATTTGGGTCAATGAGAAAGTCCCTTTCACTAGATGTTACCTCCCTGTGACATTTTTGGGTGCTAGGTTCTGGGACTTGGATGGGCATTCCTCCATCACAAAAAGCAGGCTACATTCATGAATAGTGGCTTTCAGACAAAGATGAAGGGTCTTCTCTGCCTTGGGAGGCACCACGTGAGGTCAACATGGAGTGGTTTCCATACTGCCTTGCTTCAATGCACTGGGAGCCCTCTTAATCTAGGAATCACCTTTTGGCAGAGATATGGTTCCTCCATTTTCCCACAAAGACTTCAGTGAAGCCCAGGTGAAACATCTCTCTGAATAAGATCAGAAGCCTCTCCATTAGGCCTATGGCCTAGAGTCAAACCTTTCCGAATGGCATCAAAATCTTTGCACCACATGCTTTGGGTGGTTGGTGCTATGATCCCAGATGACAAGTCAATTTAGGAAGACAAAAGGCATTTTTTTCCAAAACATTGATATTTCATAATAGTACCAAAAGCCAAAAGCCAAATATTGACCATAACTATGGTAATTATTTGCATCAACACATTCTTATGTAGTTTTCTCAGTTCCCCAGACTATTTTGCACAAAGACGTTACTTATCCTTAGCATTATAGTCTTTAAAAATACCATTTTGGAGATAGGAAGAAGCTTTAATGTTCTGATGAAAACCAGAGACTTTCTGAATTAAAAACAAAACTCTGAAGTTTTCAACGTGGTGATTTCCAAGTTGGTTCTTGACATAAAATTAGGGGATTTCAGTGTGAGAAATTTCAAAGCCTTATTACTATGAACTCGTAGCTCTGGTGAATACGACCTGGAGTTCTTGCAAAATCTTCTGAAGGGAGTAACAACATTTATAACACTGACCCAGGGGAAGGGTGCTAGCTAGCATTTCTCTGCCCTGACAACCAGGAAGCCTCTGGGGTATAAGTAACCAGTCCATGTGCTGTTGTGTTCAACTGTGTTGGTTGCTTGTGGGTCATGGCCACATTAAGATCTTCAGATGACTCAAACACCGAAAAGACCACACAGGCTCTCAAATTTAAATTACATAACACATGTGCAATTAAAACTGAAAAAGCAATATAACAGAAATAAAGGTGAAGCAAGCTCAAGAAACTCTCCATGAGATCTACTTTATGCTTTTTAAAAAAAGTCAAATATCAAAATATTTATCAAATGTGTATTTGTACACCATCCCGTTTTGCTGGTGTTGTCTGTGAGAACTAACTTTGATGAGCAGTCATGAGGACCTGTGGCTTTCTTTCAGACTCTTAAGTGTTCATCGTAGTGAAACTTTTGTTATTTGCTTTGGTGATCACACACCTCTCCCTGTTGTACTATGCAGTTAGAAATCAGATATCAAGAGGTCAACCCCCACCCCACTCCTAATACCACTCATATGTTAATTCCAGAAAATTTTGTGCATTGAGGAGTCATACTATGTCCTGTGCAACTACTAAATGGTGATAGCCAGTCTCCCAAATGAGCAGACCCTGACATCCTTCCTCCTTAACTGTGGCCTTTCTGGCAAACGCTGTTAACCTGGGACTTCCAGTGACAGCTCATCCCCATTTGGCTCCAGCTTTTGAAACTGGGTACTCCTTCTCATCTTACTCCTTTGGCTACATGCTTTTGGCAGGCACTGTTTCCCCCGTTGCCTGGTTTAATCTTTGGCTTAACCCACTAGCCCAGCCAGCTCCCACATCAGTAGATAATTTCAGCTCCCAATAACCCAGGAAAATGGACTTTCAGAGAAAGACGTATTTTTGCAAAAATTCAACTTGTGATTCTCTTCAGTTCATTCCTGATGTGGGACCTCTCATCCGAGGTCTGAGAGAGGCTGTCAGATTGGCCAGTAACTGCTTCCCACACAATGGACAATGCATTCTCTTTAGGGTGTGAGTGCCAGATATGTAAAGTCCAGTAGCAACATTTAATAAAAAAAAGTGTTTAGCCAGATATCAACAACAAAAGCTAGAGAACTAGGTACCAGGCTGCTCAGACAAAGACTCTAGTCCATTTTTATTGGAGGCCCTTAAATTAAGGGTATTATAAGGTACCTACTATACTGTTTCTGGAATTTACCAGTGAGGGGAGAACTATACCAAGATAAACAATGTGTAAAAGCCTACATGAAATAATATACAATGAATTAAGTGTTTTCTAAGTAGGACTTACAAATTTACCTCATTATTTTAGTAAATATTTTGAAAATTTCCTAAAGAGAAAAAGAATTACACATGAAATCCTTTGCAGTAGCATTAATATCTCTAGCTTGAGCTTTTAAAAGTCTACTTTTAAGTATTTCTTGAATTACTTGGTTTGAAGTTCTTTCTTTGGTCCAGAATTTTCCCCTGGGGATTAAAAGTGTTCAGAGATCCAGAGCAAAGATGGTAGGACAATCTCCTAACTCCCCCAGGAACAGAAAGGTCCATGAGCTAAGGAAATCATGACCTTTCTTATAGATTATTGCAGCTCACAGTTGGAAGAACAGAATTCCATTGAACAATCCCAACTAGTATGTTTAGATACAGAATAGAGCAAGAGGAATGTGGAATGAAAAATAAAGAAATGCCCTTCCTGTTTCACTGACCACTTGCAGCATGGTGGTACTCACTTAAACTCTTAGGGTGAGAATGGCCATAAGTGTCTTCAGAAGTCTCCTTCACTGCTCCTTACCCACATAGTGAGACGTTATCCTAAGGGTGTCAGTTAGGGATAATTTTTATTTCTTCCACTGTGTCATTCTAAAACCTTATTGCAAACATCGCCAAGTTCATTCATATGCTGTGCCAGAAAGAATTACCTCTTTTGTGGAAGATCACCATTGTTGTCACTGGAAGTGCTGCCCCATCAGGGACCACATTTCCCCGATACTTCTGTGGTTATCTGTGGTCATGTGACTGAGTTTTAGCCAATGGTACATGAGGAGAAGTGACGTATACCACTTCTAGTCTTGGACCACAAAATACCCCATGTGCACTTTTTCACGCTATTTTCTTCCACTGAGGAGTGAAGATATTTCTAGGCAACCATGAAAACCAATGTGACAGGAGGTAGATACTCTGATCTTGTGAATCTGAATTGGTTTTGTTTTGCTGTGATGGAGGATGCAACCTAGAGCCTCATGCATGCCAGGGAAACACTCCCCTACTAAGCCATACCTCTAACCCTGAATCTGAATGAATGTTCTGAAGAGATGGGCCCCAGTGACCTGTACTTCTGCACTGCCACATGAGCAAGAAATAAACTCCTACTGTGTTTGATCCCTTAGATATTTTGGGGTCTGTTATAGCAATTAGTCTATTAAAATACTTATCCTTTTTGATTCAGCTGTTACCGTTTTCTGCAGAAGTTTCTGTGCTCTTTCTCCTTTTCTTTAAATCTTACTCTAAAACAAAAATGTTGAATTAGTAGACTTAAATTTAAGTAGCCACAAGGGCCATAAAAAACACTCACCTAATTAGTGGCCACAGCATTTACATCTTCCAGTCAGAAGAATAGATTTATGGCAGAGCCTCACTTCAAGAGTATCTGATCTATTAAAACAAAAAAAGTAAAATAAAGGCCTACAAATCATGTATTAGAATCTGACAGTTAATTTAAAAGGGAGTTAGTTCATGAAGGAATTTGCCACTGTGTCCTAGTAATAATACTCATTTTAAAAGTGTATTTCCAATCATTTTACTATTGAATTTATAAACAACAGATCTACTTTGCTAAGTAATCTGTACAAAGAGTAGATGCTGACTCAGGGGATGAAATTAGAAGCTGGGAAAATCAGGGTATGATATCTCTATGTATTCTTTACTTCCTACATACTGCTAATTATTGTTTTTTTGTTTTTGTTTTTTTTGCAGAAACTTAAAGTTCTTCCGTAAAAACTTCCAGAAATTGTAAGTTACAGGCTACACAAAATTGAAACAGACACATTATGATGCGTCTTTGTGTTTAATATCATCCCAGATGCAATGGCACAAGTAGGAATGAAAATAAATTCTCTGTTCAGGGATGAGATAATGGAGGCGCATACATGAAACCTGCCCTGTTGAGGCAAAAGGGATGTAGCTACTTTCTCAACCAGGGCTTCCACCTTTTACCAGATTAAATGTGAAACTACCATTTGATGGCACAGGATATGTATTTGCCTAGAATAGTATTTATTTTTATATCTGATCACTTGGTATTGATCCAGGAAGCAAACTGTGCAGAACTCTGAGCAAATACTCTGGCACTCTGAAACACAGGGTTGGGAAAAGATAGAAGAGACAAAACAAGTGGGTTAACAGGGAAAGTCACCAGAGGGCCATTTTTTGTTGGGTTTTCGGCCTAAGTGTTGCGGTACTGCAAGTGCGTGTGTGTGCGCTTGTGTGTGTGTGTGCACTTGTGTGTGTGTGTGTGTGTCTGCCTGGTTCTGTGGAGAAGACAGAGATCAGTTTCCTTTGAGGCTGTATCACTGGGTCTCCCCAAGCACTCCCCACTCCCCCCTATTTTGGGGCCTGCCAGGCCTCAGGTGTCAGGGAACAAGATGGCGCCCACAGTGAAGGTCACTGAGTGAGGGGGCCCAAGGGTGGGCCTTCACTTACTCGGGTGAGCTGCTCCTCTGAAGCCCAGACACTGCCAACTCTCTGGGCTCAGGAGTCACAGACGCTTTCTTGCTCTGGGTTCTTCACTCTTTGTCGAGATCAGCTCCACATATTTTTCTGATGATGCCACTCATTCTTACTTCCTACATTAGAAAGTTGATCAACAAGCAAAACCTTCCATGAGGCTTTAAAAAGATAAAAAGAAGAAGAAAAAGAAAGGTGTGCTGTGAGGAGGTGGAAAGGCTGTGGACTCCTTATTTTGAGATTTGCTGCAGCTGAGAGCGCCACTCCCCAGCCGGTTTCCTGGCTGCAGAGGGAGGCCAGTGGCCGGGCGTGGGTGACGTCAGGGGCAGGCCTGAGTCATCGCCAGCGGCTGGCCGGGCTGCCCTGCCACTCCGAAGGGGACAAAAGGAACCTTTGATGTCCAGAGGCCCTCCTCTCGGCGCACTCAGCGGCACTGAGCAGCAAGCCAGGAGAACATTCCTGTCGCCTCCCCACCCCCGCCTCCCTTCCTACTTCCGGAACAGTCCATGCAGATTGAACAAGGCCTCCCCAAAGGACATCACCCTCCTGCAGAGCACAGGCATGGCCGCTCTCTGTCAAAGACAGCAGCCGGGGAGAGAAGAACAGGGTTTTCCCTGAGGACCCCCCACTTCCTCCATGTCACTATGGTACTCACCTTACCCAGGGAGTCACAGTGGTAGCTAAAGAGATGTGGAAGGCAGACAGAACTCTTGTCATCATCCCTGGCCAGCTCTGTCTACTCTCCTCTGCCTTGTGCCGGGGCCATAGGCCTCAGCTCCTTGTTCTCTGACAGTCAGTGTGAACTAGTTCTTCCTAGGAGGGTGCCACTCTTTAAGAGGGATATTAATATCCCAATGCCTGATGTGAAGCTCAGGAAACACATGATGAATGAATGAATGGGTGGATGGATGGGTGAAATTTTAAAACAGAATAGCAGAGGGCCTATGCTGCTTTACATGACTGTTTAAGCCTGTATATTGAGTGCTTTGTGAAGATGATTTTATTTATTGGCATTATCGTGACAAAGCTATGAATCCCAATTCTATGGATATAAATAGTTGCTCAGAGAGGTTAAGACATTTCTCTAAAATTCTCACAGAACCTGACAGAACTTGGATCACCTAATCTCAAATCCTATATTCTTAACCACTACATTGGGTGACAGGAGTAAATGAAGAAAACAGTGAACATACTGTTCAAGAGAAGGCAGGTACAAATAAAGATAGGACTAAAACCAAGTTTGCCAAGGAAAGAGGGGATGTTCTGTCTAGGGTGGGTAGCCTGCATGCCCTCGTGATGGACCCACACCAGGCCTGAGGGGTAGCAAGTAGGTGGTTACCCAGAGGGCTGGGAGGATGGGCCTCTCTCCAGGTCCAAGTAGAGAATGAGAAGTTGGGAGCAGAAAACACAGACAGGGAGGTCTAGCAGATGCACCCCACCCCTAGCTTTGTCATAGTGGACGGAACACCTCAGAGGGAGCCATGGCCCAGGCTTGTCTTTGTTGTCGGACTCATGGATGTAAGTGGGATAAAGGGGTAAGCCTGAAATTAAAAGGCTAAGTCTGGGGCCAGCAAGAAAACTAAAGGGAAGACAGTCCCAAAGACTCCCAAGGTGCAGGAATGAGCAGGAATGACTATGTGGTTTCAGAGGGTGAGGAGCACTGTCAAGAGATGGGAAGTATATTTAGACCTGACAGTAGGAGTGACTGTGTGCTCTTAGCACTGTCTGGCCAGTAATGGCCACCTCTCTGGGTCTGAGTGAGAGTCTTTGCACTGGCTGTGTTCAAGCAAAGGCAAGGAGTGGGGGCAAAAGGAGAACATCTTGGGTTGTGGATTTAGCTCAGTGATTCTGCCACCTGCCTCACAAGCACAAGGACCCAAGTTCGATCCCCGGTACCAAAAAGAAAAATAAAAATAAAAGAACATCTGGGTGTGGGGCATCAGGGCCTCAGATGACCTCAGAGGTCCTTTTTCCCTCAGAGGTTCAGCAGTTTGTACTTTTCTACGATTCTCTAGGGCAAGTGTCTCATTCTAAGAGGAAGACGAAAGGCAGGGATTTCCAGCTCCTTGGTGGTGAGTGGTCGATGCTGCCCTCCTCGGTACATCAGCTCACAGCTTTCCTTCCTTCCCGGGGTGGGGTGTATGGTCTAGGGGGCCTCTTCTCTTTGGCTCAGGAAGTCTATGTCTCTAATGGCTGTGAACACTCTGCAGTTACCTTGCTCCTAGGAGCTGGGCCACTCTGAGAATTAACACTTGTTCTGACTCCCTCAGCAGGTGGAATTAGCAGAAGTGATTGTAAGAAGAGAGAAAGCCACATGCTTTTCATCAAGGGAGCAGCAGCAACTCCCAGGTTCACTGTCCCCATCCACACAGCGCCTGACCTTGGGCTGAGGAAAGCGCTTTAAGTTCCAGGCATTTTTTGGCAGAGGACTTGTTTATTCTTTTCTTCCCTCTCCACAGAAAATGCCTCTGGGCACCTCCCTGCTCTATTTCCCCAGAGATTCGGTGGCCTTGCTTGCTTCACATACAAAGGAATTTATTTCTTTAATAATACGAACAGAAGCTGATTAATTTTCAGCCTTATGGCATCGGGGTAATGGGAACAGAAAAAGAAAAGGAAAAAAGCAAGAGTTATTGGTGAGTTTAAGTAGATGCAGATCTTTGCACTGTCTGCATGAGGGATGATGTTCAGTGTGAGGATAAAGTCAGGGAATTGGGCAGACGGTGCACTGGGAGACACAGGGAGGCAATTCCGTGGCACCCCCTTACCATACCCCCTCTGGAGCATCCTCCTTGCTACAACAAATGCAACTGTACACTGGTAATTTTCTTAAAAACTTTTAAGGGATCATGGAATTCTTTGGAAGACTTGTCTATACTCGCTGCCTCCAGTTTCCTCTCATCTCATCTCAATCAGTCTTAAAAAAAAATTAAGATAATTTCCATACCATAAATTTCACCCACTAAGACATATAATTCACTATTAGTGTGTCTGTAGAGTTTTGTGACCCAAGATCTAATTTTACAACATTTTTGTGCCCCCTAAAAGAAACATTGTACCTGTCAGCCCTCACTCCCCGCTGTCCTCACCCACAGCCCGAGACAACTACTAATCTATCTTCTGGCTCCGTAGATTTGCCTTTTCTCATCATTTCGCACAAATATGTTTGGCTTCTTTTTTTGTAGCATAATGCAGTCAGTGTTTATCCATGTTGGAGAATATTTCACCAATTTGTTCCTTTTTGCGTCCCTACGAACGAGTTGATGAACATTTGAATTGTTTTCGGTTTCAGCTATGATGCGTAATGTTGCTATGAACATTCCCATCCAAGCTGTTTTGCGGACTTGTGCTTTCATGTCTCTTGGGCAGACACCAGGGAGTGGGATGCTGGGTGATATTATAACTCTATGTTTAACATTTTGAAGAAGTGTCAAACTGACAAAGTGCCTCATGATTTCACATTCCCACCAGTAACATTTGAAGAGTCTGACTCCCTCACATCTTCTCAAACATTGTTATTGTCTGTCTTTTTTATTATTATTACTATTATTATTATTATTATATGTAACATAATGTCTCACCGTTTTTTTTCTGGTATTGGGGATCAAACTCAGGACCTTGGGCTTGCGAGGCAGGTGTGGCGCTACTGAGATAAATCCCTGGCCCCTACGTCTGACTGTGTTTAAATTGCATTTATCTAATGCCTAATGCTGGCAAGCATTTTTTCATGAGCTTGTTGGCCATTTGTATATATCCTTTGAAGAACTGTTTATTAAAAACCTTTGTTCATTTCATTTTTTGAATACTGGGAATTGAACCCAGGGCCTTGCATATGTTTGGCAAGTGCTCTATCACTGAACTACATCCCTACTCTTTTTTATTTTTTTATTTTGAGACAGATCTTGCTAAAATGCCAAGTGGGGCTCAAACTTTGCTTGACCTGCTTTTGACACTGTGTAATTGGAATTGTAGGCATGTGCCACTGTATGTGGCTGTCCATCTTTAATTTTTTTTCTGTCTTCTTCTTTTTGAATTGTAGAGGCTCTTTATATATTGTGGATACAAGTACTTTATCAGATATATATTTTAAAATATTATCTCCCTGTCTGTGGGTTGTCTTTTCATTTTCTCGATCGTGTTTTTTGAAGCAAACAATTTTTAAATTTTGATTAAGTTCAACTTACCAGTTTCCTCTTTTTTTTTTTTTTTATTACTTGTACTTTTGGCATCAACCACTGTCTGACTTGTGGTCATGAAAATTTACACCTGAGTTTTCTTGAAGGAGTTTCAGTTTTTACATTTAGGTCTAGGTTCTACTTTAGTTAATTTTGTTTATTGTGTGTGGTAGAAATCCAAGCTCATTTTTTCATGTAGAAATCCAGTTGTCCTAGAAACATATGTTGAAGAAATTATTTTACAATAATTCTGTATATACAAAACTGTTCTAAAATAAAAAAGTTTTTTCTTTTTAACATGGCCTGTTCTTTCCTCTATTGAATTGTCTTGATCCATTTGTTAAAAATCGAGTGGCTGTAAATCTTGCTATTCATTTCTGGACTCTCAATTTTATTCCCTTGATCTAGATATCTATTTTTACCACACTGTTGTGATTATTGCAGCTTCAGAATATGTTTAGAAATTTGAAAGGCTGGTGAAAGAATTAAGTCAGCATGTCACAGTGATACCTGCACAATTTACAATAGCCAAGATACGGAACCAGCCTCGGTGCCCACTGACAGATGAATGGATAAAGAAATGTGGTGCATATATACACGGTGCAGTATTATTTAGCTATAAAGAAGAATGCAATTATGTCATTTGCAGGAAAGTGGGTGGTTCTGGATATCATCATATTGAGAGCAAAATAAGCCAGACTCAGAAAGACAAGTATCACCTGTTCTCCCTAATACACGGAACCTTAAAAGGATGACACTGAAGTAGAATGGAGACTATTATTAGATGAGAGAAAAGGAGTAAG